TGTAATAAAGAGTCATTTCCAAGGTCAAAATTATTCACTAGCATGAAAGCTTTTTCTTTACAATCTAGTAAACGAGGATAAAGAGCTATAATCATATATGCTAGCCTAAATAAAATTCCTGGTGTTTGTATGGCTCAACTTCGCTTTTTGGTTCGATAACTTTGCTCAAGGACAAAGCCCTAACTTGGCACAACTTCGTTACTCAGATCAATAATTTACTCAAGAACAGTACCCTAACTGAAGGAATTGGTTTGTTCTTCATTGATACCGTTCATTACCAATCTGATGGCTGCTTATCTAACCAAAATATTTTCATTCGTCATAACGCCGCTTATTTAAGAAATGTTTGCCATAAATTATTTCTGTTAGGAGCCTCTGAGAATAAGTCTAAAGAAGCAAGAATTTCTGCTAATTATTCTTGTTAGCTTGTCGTTGCTAGGCTCAAAACCAGGTATATATCATTATTTTCTCTACTATTTGTATATGGAGCAAATGCTCTTAGAAAAATTCCCCCAATACAAGGTTGAAGTCTATTTACTGTCCACGTGAGTTTACATAATATATGACTTTCAATAATACGGACCTATAAGTGTATGTAATCCTTTTGATTTGGCATTTACCATTGTATCAGTATGAAGCTTTATAAATGATTTCAAAAGTTCACGACCACTCCAACAAGTATCAAGAATTTATAGTTATTCTGAACCATAAGTTCGTCACGGAAAGCAAGTGCTAAATATGTCCATATGGAACAAATATAGAAATTTGAAGCAAACCCAAGCTTCCTTTTCTACAACATTTGCTTGTAAAGGTGTTTGGATATTTACTCTCTACTATGTATAACATAGCAGTACTAATCATAACAAAGCATTTATTGAATGAAACTGAATATAGGCTACCAAGACAAAAGTGCATTCCAATATGTTAGCAACAGACTAAGATCATTAACAAAATCAAATAGATATAATCAAACTAAGATTTTGCTGCTGGTAGAAATAAAGCTAGGTCAGATTCCACACCTTAAAGAAGCCGTGAACGGAAATCCAAGGGTTTTGTTACTGCAGCACTTCATAACAATATGTCCTTTCGTGGCTTCTGCAATGGCAACTAAGATCCTAGTAGCTGCAGAAATTCGGAGAATATTTTGCACAACATGCAAGGACACTCCCACACAAAATAAAAAGTTCAAGATCATAATTACTCGAGACACCTAATTTTATGAAAAAGCAAGAATACTAGATATACGAGTGCACCAGCTGACACTGGACAACCAGTGCCAGAACTCTTCAGTTGCCACCAAGTTTGCTCACTAAGAGTCACTTTTAAGCCCAGGAAAAAACCTAATAAAAGTCCCACAAACGAGCATAATATGGAGGTGTCCTTAGGAAATTATATTCTTCTCGTTAAAAGAAATTCCTATATTTCCTAGATAATGATAGTCGACTTAGTTAGAAACTTACGAGGCCAAGAAACTTAGGAAGAGAAGGAGAATGAATCCTAAGAATTAGCAAGAATTTCTTATAGCTACACAACAGCGGACCAGGAGTGCAGAAAATGATAATAATATACAGCAGCAGTTATACCAAATAAACGACCTGATGCTATACGACATGACAATTACAACAAACGGTAGAAGCCTTTAAGCACAAAGCAAGGCAGAAATTACAAATGTCTCCATCTCAATGAACATCTATCAG